GAAAATAATGGTTATGTACATCTAAATGTAAGCTAAAACAGAGCAACATATTTTACTGTGTGAATAATTGGAGATAATAAAAAATCTGACTACTTCAGAGATACTGCAGTATAATGTGTGAAGCTGTATGTTTATATATGTATATATACACACAAACACACATAATTTGAAATTTAAAAAATTATATAAAGATAACATTGTTACATTTTCCCTGCAAATGATTTTTCTCCATATGGGCCTCCTTTAGTAATTAATTTACTATAGTCACCATATTTTCGATCTTTTCTTTTGATTCTATAGCAATGCATTCCAAGTCGTTTGTATTCTAAGCAGTATTTAGGGTTTGGATTTTTTTTTTCTTTAACCCACCATATGTATGGGTATGTTACTGTTACCAAGGCCTCCATAATCTGGGAGAAGTGCATCAGAAATTAATTTTAAAATCCCCTTCCTTACTTATGGTTAAAATTGGGCTTTGGAGCCCTTTGTTAAAGATCCCCGTAAAGGCACATGAACAGATGTGGTTGGAGGAAATCCTACTGTATTCAGCTCGCTCTCCTCAAGTGAAGAGGTGCCGAAAACTGCTGCACTATGCGAGCTCAGCAGCACCCAGACTGCTGTTGCTCATCCTCCCTCATGGAGGCAGTGGCCAGTCACACCCAGGAGTAAGGAGGTGTTCGTTTAGTCAGCTATACTTTTATGCGTGCCCAGCTATACAAGCTGGTATGAGTTGTTTTTCAGTACTGCTGCATTTGAATGTAAATTTAAGCTTACCTTATCATTTTGGTGACATGCATGTCATGTCCTCTACCCCTCAGTAGAAGTTCAAATACACATTTGGAGGAAGTCAAACATTGTAGGACAGATAAGCCAGTCTAGGAAATGGACATCCCAACTTGGTAACATACCATATCTGAGACCAGTGCATTTCCAAAAGGATAATTAAAAAAAAAAAAAAGTGGGGGCTTATTTGTGCCATACACAGTATTAGCAAACAAAAGACCAACAGGTTTTCAGCATGTTAAGCTATCACACATAAATGAATTGAAGGAACAGTTTAACCTTTAGTATCTTTAGGCTGGATGTGACTGATTGTTAGGCTATCCTTCCTGTTGTAACAGTGTCCAGATGTGAACCCCTTTATAGAAAATGCAAGAGAATTTACTTTTCTAAATCACCAGTAGCAAGGCCACAAATAGATCTCAGCTGTACTTTCATGCCTCACCATGTCTCTTTCCTCTCTCTTCAGCCAGTTTAATATCATGAGGGTACTAGCTCAAGAACTGGCTTTGTTCAATTTTACCTAACAAAAAGCTTTCACAAGCTTTATGCAATATGGCATAGTGATATTCTTCCCAAATACTGAAACAAAATGTGCATACAGAGAGCATAGATATCCACGAAAGCATACTTAAACATATGCTTATAGAGTAATGTGGATACCTAAACTGTACACCCACACAACTGACAAGACTAGACTTATTTTCAGCTGCCTTATTATCAAAATTACAATTTATATAACATAAATTATGTGAGTTAAAGGAATTTATGAAGCAGAATTCCAGAATTGTTTTAACTTTCTTGTTTCTGCAGAATGTTTCTATCGTAGTAACTGCAACAATAACTCAGGGGGGCGGTGTGTGTAAAAATATTTTATGTAAAGGGCTGAAACTTGGAAGCATTGCAGAAAGCTATGTTTTAACATTTATTAGAAAGTTAATTGCAAAATATTTCTTTTAGACCCAGTCTATTACAGGGCTGGTAGCAATAATCGACAAAACAAATTATGAGAAGAAAGGATTTGCACACTGTTGTCCAATGATACCCAAACTAGTATCGAGTGGCAGAATGTGGGTACCGAAAGCAAAGCAGCAGTGTTGTAGTAGACACAGGACTCAGCCCAAGGTACTCAGCTTTCCCAAGTTGGTTTTTTTTTAAAAAAAAAGTCTGCTTTCTGGGAGGAGCACCATGCAGATATACCCAAAGACTGCAAACATTAATCTCTTTATGTGGTTTTGTGAACTTGGGTTTGTTTCTTAGTTTGTGTACAGCTCTGTTAGGCAAAAACATGGTGTTGCCGCAGAGAGCATGCATGTGGGTGTACATGTTCTTGGCTCAGCCTCCTTGAGGAGGACTGACACACATAAGCTAGGACTTGTGGGACCTCTGTATGTGTTTGAGTGATACAGACAAGACATTATCCTCTTCAGACTAACTGTAATAGTAGATTTAAAACAATAAAATTTCTCCCCCTTGCGCCTGGCTCAGAGGGGTTTGTTTTTAGTCCTTCTGACTGGAGTGTGGCTTTGGTCAAAGGTCACGATCTTAAACTCTGAAATTTGGGTGGGTTACAACTCCAGCTGAATAAAGTATGCCATCCTCACTTGTTCAGCAGTTGGAAGTTGTTGGGTATTTGAGTAGAAAGGAGTTCACCATTATAAAAGCAGGCAATCTGGGGAGAATGAGGAAGCTGAGCACAAGCCTTTGAGCACAGCTTGTGTACATATTTGTTGAAAGCTAATTGGCAACGCAGTTGCCTTTCAAAGTTGTTCTTTCACCTATCAGTAGAGCACAACTCTGGTACTTAATGTACTGTAGATTACGTAAACGCTACCCTGAAATATTTGTACAGGCAATTAACTCTTGTTTTTACACTACTTTGAGTTACAAATGGAATCCTACTGTAGAGCTTGGAATATTTATGTTATGAGATATATTCCATAATTAGATTAAATAACACTTTCGTCAAACTGGCTAGCATTAAGATCATAAAAACAGGGGATTGGTTATCCTGTGAGGAGCTGACAGTCTTTTAAAATTCAGTATATGAGAAATACAGACACTGTGTTTGTACCACATCACTGAGGTAAAACTGTATTTATGAGAATTTTATCTGGAACAAATATATCTGCTCTTGGTTATTATATTTGAAGACTGTAAATGCTTACATTGGTAACGCTGGTCTCCATTTTGTGTGGCAAAATGTGGTTACTAATGAAGTAACTTAAAGTGTGCATACAGTGTGGCATTGCTGTTGTCAATATGACACTCCTGATCTAATGTGGTGTTGATTACTAAGGATACTTACATAGACGCACATTTATTTTTTTCCTTCTTGCTCTTTTCAAATTTATCTTACAAATATTTTTTCCCTGATAAAATTAAGTCACAGCTCTACAATTTGAGCTGAATAATAAATCTACTAAAATGTAACCAATTGGTAACAACATTCTTATAGTCAGTCCTCCATCCTCTATTCACAAGCATTTGACCTAATACGACTATGAATTTGAATAAAATGTTAATAGATTTTATTGCAATTCATAGTATGACTTGCTGCCATGATAATAAAACAACATTTATAACATCAATGGCAGTAGCACTCTGGTGCTCATCAAACTGCTTTGTGCCTGTGCTTAACAGAATTGTAGAGAATATGTTCCCCAATGGAGTGGTGAGGGACTGGTTAAATGAGTTCAGCAGTATTTTACATATAATCAAACAGGCTAAAAGAGTTAGAAAATAAAACTAATTGAATCAGAATCCTTCATACATTTCATACATTAGGACATCACAACTAGATTACATTGTAGTTGATTAAAAACCACTTTGTTTAGAAACAGGAAAGTGTAATATATTGTAGAGCAGTACAAAAGTGTTAGTGCTAATATCGAAATGCATGCTGGATGTATATTGATGCAGGATTTTTTGTGGATGAGGACAGCTAGACTTGACAGGCATTTCTATTATGAAGGCAGCAGCCCACTTGCAGTTTTGGATTTGTTCTGTAAATGGTCCAAATCAATTGCTTCTGTAGTCAGATATCAGTTTGTTTTCTCTTGTATTTCTTTTCCCTTCCCCTAACAACATCTCCCAGATAGAGAATTCTTTAATTATAACTATAGAAAATTTCAAGCAATTTACCTGAGACTAAGTCTTTTCTTAGTCTTTAGTAGATTGTTATAATAGGTTTTACTTCCCCAGTTCCCTAGCAAAATGTCCTTGACACAGGGAATCACAGTTTGGCCTGGTTTTATATTTTTCATTTACTTAAGAGCTCTTCAAACTTTATCCAACTCTTACATACATGGAGACCAGTTACTCGGAGGGAAGGGGTGGGTATGCAAAATGTTTTTTGAAGTGCCTGGTGTCATATACAACCACTCTTCCTATGTGACAGAAGATGCTAATGGTAAATATGGATGAAAGCAGAAGACTGTTGCAATTTATTGATGATTTTTAGTAGTGTGTACAAGTTTCTCTTGGATTCCTTCAAAGTTCCCTGTGGCTATAGGAAGTGAAAGATGTTTGAAGCATTACCTTCTTGACACATGAAAAGACAGGAGTAGTTGTCATGCCTCCATCCAGTTGCTGTCTTCTTTTGAGGGCTGTATTTGTTCATTAAAGTAACGCTAGAAGAAAACAGAAATAAATCACCTTAAGAAACAACTTTGGGTTGATGTTTCACCGCTTTAGAAATTTAAAATTAGCACTTAGTGTAAAAATGAATAGATGGAGAGATTTCTGTTTAATTGTCAAGGACAAGATTTGTAGGTAGAGGATTTTTAATTAGGTAGTAGTGCATTAGTACAGCTGATGTAGTTTGAGAAATAAACTTCTGTGGATGTGAATGTTTCTTCATATTTACATTTAATGTTTTGATTGAGCAACTAAGTGTCATTCATTTCAGGTTGACAGTCTGACTTGCCTCAGTTAGATTCTTAATCCAGGGTCAGGAGTCATTGGTTCTTAATGAGTGTTGCAGTGTGTAAAAAGGCCAGAGAGTTTCTAATCTTCATGACTAACTAGGAAGGAGGTATAACTTTGAAAGAAGTTGAAGCCTATTGTAAAAGCCAATTTTGAGGTAAATGAATGTAATAGAATCATAGTGGGAAATAAGACTTTTTTAAAACTTGTGTTACAATTTGATGTATTATTTAATCATGGCTACTTCTGAAAATGTTGGCTGTTGCTGTAGCTCTGTTTCTTCCTTTCTGCAGTATGCCTGTCCTTCTTTCCTGGAGAGCTGGATCTGCCTACCCTAACTTCAGGCTTTTCTCCTAGTCTTTTCACTATACTGTGTTAGGGGCTTGGTAAGATACCATTATTGGAACTTGTAAAACATTATATAAATTGATGTGAAGCAACTGGAACTTTGTTTATAATGGCTCTGAATCTTATCTGTAGTTTATCCATTTGAGTTTTTCTTCAGTGTATTATACTGACTTTCATGTTAGAGTATCTTTTCGTTGGTTTTCTTAATGACTGTAGGTAGGAACTAGTGCAATTTGATGCAGTATTAGTTCATACACCAAGGCAAATAAGTAGCAAATATTTATCTTGCAAACTTCTTACTGCCTGGCTTCCTCTGTCAACGGTGTCACTAATCCTTATTCTCTTGTTTCCTTTACCTGTCACAAACCATTTGAGCAAGCAGTGAAGCCTATGTGGAGTATTGGCTGGAAAAAGAAATAAAGCAAGTAATATTAGGTGGTGGTGGTTGACCCCACTCTTCTAAAAAAAAAAAAAAATAATTGTTGCAATGGTCCTAAACAGTATCTGTGGCAAGACCTGCATATTTTACATAAGACCATTTACTGTCCTATCATTGTGCTAAGGGACTTAGTTGTAATAATTAGCAGACTTTAGGTCAGAGATGATCTCATTATTCTTCTAGCTCTTCAAACAGTATAACTTCCATTAAGCCACAGGAGTCGGCTGAATGAATGCTTTTGGAGCTGTGGATGCATGGTTTTTGGGGTGCTTTTCTTACTAATAATTTCATAATACATACCTACAAGTGAATGTTTAAAAGTGTCCCTTTTAAAAATTTTATTTTCCTTAATTTTTCTTATTGAGACAAAATATCTAAAGCATATTAATCTGTGTGTCTAACTTCGGGTATGGTGGATTTCAAAACCAGGTAAACTGTAGGGCTCCGCCCTGCCTCCCCTTTTCTCCACCCCCACACCCAGTGAACGGAGTAACCTAGTATCTGAAGAATGCAAGTTATGCAGATGTTCAAAAGGCCAAATAAAACAAATAAATGGGCTGCAGCTGCTGGAGCAGCATAAAGCAAAGAACATTCGCTGCTGTGATGAGACTGCTGTATTTCAGCATGCCACTTGCCTGTTTGAGGGGAATAGCGTGGTGAATTACTTTAACCAGTTTTTATCTTATTTTGATTGTAAATTGTGATCGCTTTCATAATTGCTGAGATTTAAAAAGAAAACAACCAGCTTTTCTCTTAATGTGGAAGCTGGAGAATAAGAAGCAGTAGTGTCCTTTCATAGTAAGGAAAGGGGAGTTCTACAGAAGTACAAATGGTGTGTTTTGTTCCTGATCTTTGTCAGAGGTGACAGACTTCCAAGGAAGTATCAGGGGAAAAAAAAAAACAAACAACCAAACAAACACAAACAACACACCACACAAATGGGAGAAGTTAGTAGTTGAAGGCGCCTTCAAATATTCTGAAATAAAAATGTGAGACTACACACCCTGCAATACATTAAAGATCAACTTCATCACAAGTTTGGGGTTTGGGGGAACCGAAGAAGGTTCACTGCCCAACATACTCTTCCAAACTGGATATAAAAAAGGTTGAAAAAAGATACCAGACTCGATGGGACTAAACCACTTCTCAGACTGAGTAAATCATTGACATGCAGATTAGTGAAATTGTTCAGCAGTTGCTCTGCTGTTTTAGGGCATTCCTAAGCAACACAATGGAGTGCCATAGAGAGATGACCAAGCAAATACTACCCTCCTCTGGTACATTCACATAGCACAACCTTTTGCAGAAATATTAGTATTGTCCTAGGAATAACAGGGGCCTGTCACAGCAGTGTAGCCATATACCTGAGGTCTACAGAAGGAGAACTTGGCTTGGCTTCTGTCAGCGTTTGGTATTGCTACTTCAACTCTTACAGCATAGGTAAACACACTTCCCTAATGTGACCCATGTACATCTCATGAACCCGGGCAGCTAACTTTGTCCATATGTTTTAAGGATAGTATATAGAACAACAAGCAAGATATGGTGCCTTTGTCCTGAACCTTTGGAATTTGGTCATACTGGAGTGTTGGTTTTAGCGGTGGAATCGCATAGTTTGCCATCTACCCCTTCTCCTGGTCAGAGATCCTGCTTAGGGTTATCCATTTCCTTAATGCTGCAAAACCCAGTCTGACAATAGTTTTAACTTCTGAAAGAAAGACAAAGTCATGATTTCAAGTATTTATTTGAGTTGGTATTTTGGACTTGTTACATACATGTGTGGCAACTATATAATTGAAGAAAATTGTCAGCTTCAGTGTATTTGGGAATTTGGTTCTAGGTCCACCTCTGGTTTGGGTTTGTTGGGCTTTTTTTGTAAGGAGTGAAGAGGACCCCTGAATTACCTAGGGTTTTGATTTGGAAGTGCTTAGACTTTTTCCTATAGTGAAATCCTCCAAAAAGATCCAAAAGCTTTTAATCTCTGAAAGCAAGATTTTATTTGAATAAGTACTGGAATAATTAACTTTATAAATAGAAAAAATGCAAACCAGCTAGATAAGGAAAATGGAAAAAAAAAGTTTATGAGCAACTTGCTGTTTTCTGTTGTCTTTCTGCAGGTGGGTCTTAACCCGAAAGCTGATTTTTGTCCAACTCGGTGAATTTCTGAGTTGCATAAAACTCTGTGCAGTCCTGTCTGTCCCTAAGAAGCTCCTTCTATTTCCTCTGAGGCTCAGCTGTGTTTGCACTCTGTTCCTCATTATAGTCTGTTCTTGAGCTGTAGGCACCAAGCTGCTTGCTATGACTCTTACCTGCTGCAAACACAGTATTTAAACCTTCTCTTTCTTAAGGATGCTTAAAAGCTCTCCATGGAAATGAACTGTCTTCTTGCATAGGGGTCCACTAATCCTGTCACTGCTGAAAGAAACATAATGCATAACACAGAAATTAAATACTATCATGCATGTCTGCAACCTCTTTTGTTCCTGAATTTCTTGACCAAAGAGGCTATATGATATGTTTTGTGTATTAATGAATGCATATATATATATATATATATATATACACATACACACACACACTTGTACCAGTGAATATAGTCTTCATAGAACAGGAATTCCTCTGTTTTTGTGAAGAAAACTACCACAGCGCAATTATTTCAATAGGCCACTGATACCTGCTTGCACATACAGAAATCCTCTCACTAAAGCATAATTAATGTTTAAAAAGAAATTAGCAATGGGATGTAACAGAACACTTTTGCCCACTTAAAATGGTGTTGAGTCGTACCATTAAGGCTTTTAACTTGCTTATTTGCATTGCAAACTTGTTATGAAGTCTATCATTTTCTCTTGTGGAAGTATCTCCTGGGGAAATTGAACTCTCTTTTTCACTTGATGACATTTGCACAATATGTGCCTGATGTTTGAGGAGTGGTGGGTGCAATCTTTGAGCTCTACTAGTATGATAATAGGAAGGAAAAAATGATAGTGAAGACATTCGTGTCATGTGGTGATATCCACTCTTCTGACTTCATTTTGTGTTTTTTTCTCTAAGAATGACTACAAATTGACCCAGAATTGAGGGCAGCTAAACAGGCTGAGAGCAAATCAGACCATTATGGTGGGCTTGGTCACTTTGTTACTGAAACATGCTCTGAATCTCCTTATTGAATGGTAGTGGATAAAGCTGGCTTGATCATTTAACCTAATGAAAGTGGGTGGGTTTTATTTGTTGTTTTTTGGGGTTTTTTAAAATCTTTTATTGTATAACTAATAATTGTTATTCTTTAAGATGTTATTGTGTAGTAAGGTTTCTGCTGCTTCAGGTTAGGATTTGAGGAGATTTAGTAATACAGTTAGTGGAAGAGGGTAAAATGGGTATTTGATTCATGTGTGATGTTTTGAGGATTTTTGTACCTATAATGGCACATATGTCTGGACTTGTACTTGTTTGTTCTTGTGCGTGAAACATGTAGATGCCATTCAGATGCATGCTGTATCTGTTAACCACATGCAACACTTGATGTGTGTACTGTCTTGCTTCAAAATGCAAATGTGTCTGTGCTCTTAGTTGGTGTCTACTCTTTGATACCCCTATAAATAGATACTAAAAGCCATGGAGTTCTGGTACCTATGTGTTGTTTCCCTGAAAGAGCTGGGACCTGAGCACATTGTTGTATGAAGGATAGATCACAGCTCCAGTGCTTTAGATGACAAGCCAAATGACAAAACCCCCTTGTAGTTAATTCATTACTGGTGGTATTATAAGAGTGCTTAATCTTCAGGTGGAGGTGGACACCCACTATGGTAATCACTCTGCTCATTCAAAGCAACAGGCAGTCCCTGCCCCAAAACTTCATGGTTTGAGTCGACAGCTGTGAGAGGAGAAACGCAAACTCATGAGAGACATGATTTGTCCCAAGTCATGCCGAAAACAGAAGAATGAAGTACAGAAAACAGCTCTTGACTCCTGCTCAGTGCTGTGTCTATTGTCTGGTGCATCTGCTGAACCCACCAAGGTGCTTACTACAGGGTGGGTTTGTTTTGGGACAAGCTACTTAACTAATAGTTGTGAGTTAAAATGACAGCCAGCTTTTTTGTGCCTCATCATGGTTCTCTCTTTTCCATATTCATGTTAGACTTTTTCTATATTCAGTGTTTGAGATTTTATGGAAATATTGCTAGTCAAGTGGTACACTTGTGCGAAGGTGAAATGAGGACAAAACACAGGGGACAGATCAGAATCTTTAATCTTTGCTGCTGCATGTAATTTATAAAATGTATTAATCTAGTTTCATTCATTTACTGAACCATTTTGCACTCCTTGTCTCTGCTGCTTTGCCTTCATTTTAACTAGTCTGAAGCCAATTTTGTTTAATGTAAAAGACTAATTTAGTTAGCATAGTGAGGAGGTTTAGACCTTGTACTTTTTTGTCTGAAATCTTGAGGGTCTGCCCCCTAAAGGTGTGGGGGAGTGTAAGTAGTGATGTTAGACTTGACTTAAACAAATCAATTTCATTGCAGAGCTTTCCCTGTCATAATGATCAGTTTGCAGCACAAATCTCATTGATTTTTTACAGCTCTGTGAAACAAAAAAAAG